AATAAATGTGGATCATTTAAGCCACTGGGTCTATGGTATTTGTTGTAGCAGTCAGAACTGACTCGCAGGCAGGTGCTGATATCATTTGAAGAGTCAGCTCAGGACAGCTGAAAACAGAATCTTGGGCTCCTGGACAGAGGCCACATGGTCCCTTTCCTACCTGCTTTAGTGGGTGGGGTGTCTTGTGTCAAGAACAGAAGTATTTTTACTTTTTTTCTGAGTTAAATGTGTACTGCCTGTAGCAGCAGCTTGTGCCTGAAGCTTAACACTTCCTCCTAAATTTAGCTCTAAGCCCGGCAGGTGAAATTGGAAAAAGACTGATCAGCTGCATGCAGTCGCTGTCAATCTGTAAACCTAGGTGTGAAGCTCATGCTTGCTTCCAAGTTAAAAGAGGAACGTGTCTCTTCCATTTGTACCATGTTGCAAGGTTGATCAGATCGACCCTGACCAACCCTGGCCAAAGAAACCTTGATCTGGTAAGAAATGAGACTATTTGTTCTGTAAAGTTTCTTTGAGCCATAGACCAGTGATTCTTCCCTTCTCCCCAACATTCATTTGCTTTCTGAGTATATGCTGTGCAGGAGAGTAGGAGTAGAGACTGGGCTTGGGGTGGAACAGAGGCCAAGCAAAGGAATCCTCCACCCAGATGCCCATGCTAATCAGAAGATTAGCTTAGGACATATTACCAGGAGTGAGAGACTACAGCCACACAGAGGTTTCAAACCATATTCTGTTTGACCTACACTTCAGAGGCAATATTTAACAATCAGATGTCACTTAAAAATCCAAATTTTAGCCTGGGATATATCTCAGTGGTAAAATGACTACAATAACATGAGTGTGGTCCTGTGTTTCATCCCCCCCCCCACAAAACAAAAACAAAAATTCAAAAATAATGATGGAGAGGATGTGGGGAAAGGGGAACACTCATCCACTGCTGGTGGGGCTGCAAACTGGTTCAACCCCTATGGAAAGCAGTGTGGAGAACTCTTAAAAAACTACAAATGAACCTACCATTTGACCAAGTTATACCACTCCTTCGCATATACCCAAAGAACTCATCTTATTGCAGAGACACTTTTACATCTGTGGTTGTTGCTGCTCTTTTCACAATAGCTAAGAGATGGAAGCAACCTAAGTATCCCTCAATTGATGAGTGGATAATGAAAATGTGGG